AGAGCAAGGGACTTGCGCGATTTCCCGGCGTCCTCGGCGAACATCTTGTTGGCAGAAGTTGTGATCCTTTACGATAAGAACGACTCAAGAGATAACACAACTCGTACGCAACGGTCGCGAAGTCGCCGGCCACGCCCATTTTGCAGCGACCTAGCAGTGCCCCGCGATTGAAACGCCACATACACCTTTGAAGGTAGTTGGCACGATGATTTGGTGCTCGGCCTAAAATGCTAGTAGGGCGCTATATAGTGGGAAATGGCGAAAGAACGGAGTGAAACGGTCAAAATCCTGCGAAGAAAGAGCCTCCGTTCTCAATGACTTGAAAATCGATTTCGGACGAGTTTCCCGTAGGCATCTTGCCAATCACCGCTACCGAAGGTACGGCTGCATATGTGTACTCATTATCCATGCAGCATCACGGCCGCTTCATACCAATCCCTTCGCTTCATAATTTGCTTAGCAAATGAAGCAATACGAGCGTCAGGAACGGTCGTCCATTTGTGGGCGGGCGGGCGTGGCGGGCGTTCGGGTCGCACATTGTAGCTTCTAGGGCCCTTATGGGGGCACCTTCCTCGGGAAAAGGCGCTATGCAGCGCCTGCTCAGGGTCGCGGAATTCCGTCCTGCCAGGCGTATTAATCCTACTCGTCTTGAGGGATTTATCGTGCCAAATGCCTTTTAACCGTCGCGGTTTCGGAATAGCCGACTGAATGACTATCTTGGTCGACTGCGGCTCCTGATTCATTCACGGTAAGGTTACGCGTATTCCGATATGTGCGGCTGTCCAACGATTAGCGGTGGAGCGCGAGGAGCGCGATCTGTCGCGACCGCGTACTCGAGTTGCGATGTGTCAACGTCGCCCTGGGTGATCTAGATCCACCTCCTCGATGTTAAGGGTAGTATCCACCATCATGCACTTGCAGAAGTTTACTACTTGTGTGTTGGCGTTCACCTAATTTACTTTAAAGTTACGGTCTGTATGTCCTTTCCTCAGCAGAAAAACGTCATAAGAAATGCCCCAGGCTGTCGAGCCACCAAAGCTCCACCTCATCGCCACGGCCCCGCCCACAAATATACGAGTTCAGGCGGTCGAACCTGCGCACGATAGCCTGCACGATAGTAAGAGATCAGTACTACCTGATATTAACTTCAGTGATCGTGTGGTCATAACGAGGATGCTGTATATTGCTGCGTTCGACAAGGTGCATTCCATTGCGGACAAGGGGGTTGTGCTCACCAGGTGTCGAGAGGTACGTTATTGATCGATATTGATTGACTGCTTGCTCATTTCATTGTTTATATACACCCTCGTTTCTCTGTACATACTCGCTTCAGAATAACCACATTCATTTATCCACCTCCTTTATTTCACTTTAATTTCCCTTCTATGGTTTTCTTTGCTTTCTCAAATTTGCTCTTACTGATTGAATTAATAAATAAACTCAAATAAATCGAATATTTTGTTGTAGATCGCCGACGAATATCGGGAATTTGACGCTGTTCCGTTCGATACTGAAGTGGGAATGGTAGACGTAATACTGCAGGTCCCCTACGTCACCTATTTGTACGTTCAATGATTTTTTTTGTATTGTTACTATAACATCACATTTATGACGTCATCCAATACAGTATACCACTGTTCGTGCTGACTGGATATGCCATAATGAGTGTGATTTTGATTGGAAATCTCGCCACTTCCCTCGTGGCTATCGGATCCGCAGTAATGGTCTTTTTAGGTATTTACTGAGAACACTGGGCTTGTTTCTTTGGCATTTGTGTGAATGTTCGTGATTGCAGAATCTTACTGTATTTCCTCACTGATAGGAGTGGTGCTTAACCCGTTCACGGCAGCTTTCCTCATCGTCATATCCGTGTTTGCTGCGAAGTTTTCAACTCACATCTGCTATGCCTTTCAGCAGGTATTCAACAGTGATTCATCCACATTTCAGGGCGCTGTTCGGCTTGGGAGGGACATTTTGCACTTCAGTAGTTCGAGCCACTTTGGTTACAAAAGTTTGCTAGTCTTCAACAGGTGCTCTGTAAAGGTATTGAGAGGAGTACCCATTTGACTGCCCCCACCATCCCGAACAGCGCCAAGAACTTTATTTGTTCAACATCCGACTGGTGAGGCGGGGATCATTCTGCATGGAATAGCGGGATGTAACCAATGTCTCTGTTGTCCAATAGAGCAAATCCCGACCGTCCAGCTCTTACACCCTGCCGCGCAGTCAGGGGCACATCACTTGGTTGGGGATTTAGTCGACTCTATACGACCCATCCCCCCCCCCAGCCCTCTTCTGTCATCCTCGATCGAATCGAGCCGTCGAGCCGGGGAGCGGGGTGGGCGGGTGGGGGGGGGTGCGGGGGGGGGGAATATTATATCGGCAGTGGAAACAGGAATAATACCAGAAAGCAACGCCCGTTCCCACCAACGTCAAAAACAAGCGAGAAAGATCGAAACTTCAAAATAAATTATTTCTTCAAGCCAATACGACCCCCCCTCTGGCGACCAAATACGAGCCTCCCTCCTGAAGCGACCAAATATGACCCCCGATTGGGGACTTCCCAACAACCGATGCCCAACAACGATGTGCCCTGGCCCAATTTAAAGTTAATGTGGGGAAAGCTTGATATTTCCCTTGTTTCAGGCTCTGGAATCTGAATATGAAAACGCTGAAACGAATCGGTTAACCCGAACATTCCAGAAAGTATTCATTCCGGAGGCTATGGTAAGTCAGTTTTATCAACATTTAGTTCAGGGCTGCGTTTACCCCGAAGAAGCCTTGCATTTTGGATGGTTCCTTGTTTTTGCGCGCATGCTAGCGGGACTGGCGCGAATTCACCTAGTATCCACTCGCTCATTCATCAGTCGAGGATGCATGTGAAAAATGATCGCTTACACTGTTCGGCTTGGAGGGGCATTTTGCACATTTGCTAGTTCTTTTCGTTAGTTGATGTTAATTAACAGGTCAGACGTTGATCAGACATGTAAACCCCTGTGAAGTTGCGTAAGTGCTCAAGTGAGCCACTTTGTTCGCAGGAACTAACTAACAGTCCACAAGGTAGCCTGTACAATTGAGCAATCAGTCCACAAGCTCAATTGAGCACCACTATGTGCCCCCACCAACCCGAATTGCTCCATAACAGCTGTCGTATTATTGTTTTTTGTGTGGCCACTGACAAGTGGGCAGACATAACTCTACTCATTTGTGCACCGTGTCGTCTCGAAATCAGGTCAAGAGATCCGAGTTGCGGGCGTGACACAGTATGGCTACTTCACATGACTTACTGGCCGACGGCCTGTGCTCTGAAGTAATAACGCTCTCAGTGTAACGTTTCGGGACATGAAGACCGCTAGTTTTACGCGCGAATATTGATTCTTTGCGCGTAAAATCAATGACTGGT